TGGCAGGAAAAGTAAGGTGAGGAGAAGGAAATTGAGAGAGAGGTGAAAGGGAAGGGAGAGATAAGGTAACAAGATGGACACTGGAATGATTAAGGAGGGAAGGAGGGGTTAGGGTAATGGAGGTGAGGAGGGGTTAGGGTGATGGAGGTGAGGAGAGGTTAGGGTGATGGAGGTGAGGAGAGGTTAGGGTAATGGAGGTGAGGAGGAGAGGTTAGGGTAATGGAGGTGAGGAGAGGTTAGTGATGGAGGTGAGGAGAGGTTAAAAGATGGAGGTGAGAGAGGTTAGGGTGATGGGAGGGAGGAGAGGTTAGGGGTGATGGAGGTGAGGAGAGGTTAGGGTGATGGAGGAGGAGAGGTTAGGGTGATGGAGGGAGGGGAGAGGTTAGGGGTGGTGGAGGTGAGGAGAGGTTAGGGGTGATGAAGGTGGAGGAGAGGTTAGGTGATGGAGGTGAGGATATGTTAGGGTGATGGAAGGTGAGGGAGAGTGTTAGGGTGATGGAGGTGAGGGAGAGGTTAGGGTGATGGAGGTGGGAGGAGAGGTTAAAGATGGAGGTGGAGGAGAGGTTAGGGGTGATGGAGGTGTGGGAGAGAGGTTAGGTGATGGAGGTGAGGAGAGAGGTTAGGGGTGATGGAGTTGAGGAGAGGTTAGGGTGATGGAGGGGAGGAGAGGTTAGGGTGATGGAGGAGGAGAGGTTAGGTGATGGAGTTGGAGGAGAGGTTAGGGGTGATGGAGGTGAGGAGAGGTTTAGGGGTGGTGGGAGGTGGGAGGAGAGGTTAGGGTGATGGAGTTGGAGGAGAGGTTAGGTGATGGAGGTGAGGAGAGGTTAGGGGTGATGGAGGTAAGGAGAGGTTAGGGTGATGGAGGTGAGGAGAGGTTAGGGGTGATGGAGGTGAGGAGAAAGTAGGGGTGATGGAGGTGAGGAGGTTAGGGGTGATGGAGGTGAGGAGAGGTTAGGGTGATGGAGGGGAGGGAGAGGTTAGGGTGATGGAGGTGAGGAGTTAGGTGGTGGGAGGTGGAGGAGGTTAGGGGTGATGGAGGTGAGGAGAGGTTAGGGTGATGGAGGCAAGGAGAGGTTAGTGATGGAGGTGAGGAGAGGCGAATGATGGAGGTGAGGAGAGGTTAGGGTGATGGAGGAGGAGAGGTTAGGTGGTGGAGGTGAGGAGAGGAAGATGAAGGTGAGGAGAGGTTAGTGATGGAGAGGATATGTTAGGGTGATGGAGGTGAGGAGAGGTTAGGGTGATGGAGGTGAGGAGAGGTTAGGGTGATGGAGGTGAGGAGAGGTTAGGGTGATGGAGGTAAGGAGAGGTTAAGGTGATGGAGGTGAGGAGAGGTTAGGGTGATGGAGGTGAGGAGAGGTTAGGGTGATGGAGGTGAGGAGAGGTTAGGGTGATGGTAGAGGGGAAAATAGAGAAGGAAAAACAGAAGAATTGTTTTGTTAAGTACTTGCAACATTTTGATCAACAACATTGTCGGCATTGCAGTAATAATAATGATAGGCTAATAATAGTTGCTATAATAATAGTAATAATAATAATAATAGTAATAGTAATAGTACTACTACTACTACTAATAACAATAATAAGTATTCACGTTGCAACTACTAACATACACATTTAGTTGACCACATAGTTACATATATAAAATAAACCGGCATCCCCCCTACTACTACCACGACCCCTTAGCGAGAGTAATAAAACACGTCATAATAGTTCCAATGTTTATGGTCTTGTGTAAATATTAAGACCGGCTCATTGGTTCCTAAAGACCTGAAATGCATTAAAACAAAAACCAAGGAAGATATTAAGTAGTGGTGAACGATGACGTCAGTAAACACGAAGGCTTGCTGGATGACTAGACTTTAAGAGGATGAAAGTGTCCGGGGCTAAGGTAAAAACTGTCAGGGTATATGATGGACCGCTCACTATCACGGCCCCGTCTCTCCTCTCACCATGCAAATGATGCTTGAGTTTGTTCTAAGGTGGTTGTCTGGAGGCTGGTGAGGGAGGAAGAGGCTGCCACAACAACACTCACTTAGGGAGTTGTGTGACCCGGTGTTAAAGGAAGGACTCAAGAAAATCAGACAATTATCCATTCAGCTGCATTAGCGAAACACCTCCCTGGAATTGGATCTTATTACCAAGTCTTTAATTACTGGTGGGAGACAGAGGCAAGGTAAATAATTGTATGAAGACTTGCCAAGACGCCCCCCCCCACCCGCCTCCCCACCATGATCGGATGAGATGTGAATATGTTGACTCTTATACATACAATAAAACAACTCTGAATACCGGACTCCCTGGTACAGGATACTGGAACAAGATATTCGTTTTTGTTCGGTATTTATTTTATTGGTTGTATCGGACCACTACAGTACGGTTAAGGGGATATTTTTGTTCAGTATAATCTATAATTTAACACGTGAGACTGAAGCCTCTAATTGTTTAACAGTGTAAAGAATATGTCCTTTGATCAAGAGAGTCTGTGTGTGTGTATTTGTTGACATTACTCGCAGTCTATCAAACACCTCGCTGCTGTTACCATTGTCTGATCATAGTAGAATGTATCAGGTATTTCTCGCCACATGTTACAGTAGTACAGTACTATAACAGTGTACGTGAGGTCTGTTTTTACTGTACAGCTTTATATTGGTATGTTGCTTAATGATCGGTAATTGTTTATTTCATTATGTATTACTGCGATAGATAGAATTTTGCCCTGATTTTCATTTTATTGTTAGAATATTTATAAGGTTCCTACAATTCACATCACCTGAGGCGGCTGATGTATAAATTACAGTTCACCTCTTAGAGCTGCTATACACACACACACACACACACTCCCTCAAGCTCTCGGACTAAACAGCACATGATCTCAACACTGATGTATCATGCAATTTGCCTGCACCTGAAACTCAATACCGTTGTCTATTCACCCAGATTTAACATTCAGTTGCAATATACACATTCTACCTCGATTTATGCTAATGTAGAACACCAAGGCAGCGTGTTGCATTTGTATTGAATGGTTCCCTGGTCCCAGTTTACTTTGTTTCATGCAAGATATCTCTTAATGATGACATTTGTAGTGAACAGCAGCCTGACCTATGTTTATTTTTGCATTTATGTTTCGTGCAGCTCAGCCCTCAGTGTTGACGTTGTAAGAACATCTACGTGGACACAGTTTATACCTCTTCATGCAGCTTAACTCTTCATGATAAAATGTGTAATAACAGCTGCCTCGCCCAACTTTATACTTCTTAATGATCTTATCTCTCAATGTTTACAGTTGTAATGGACAGTTGACTGGCCTAAGTTTATATTGCTTTACAAAACTTAATTCTAAAAGCGAAGACGTTCATTACTGTTGCTTTTGCAGTATTGTAATATATTTTAATGTAGTTTTGTTCTGTTCTTAATTTGGCGATCATTTTTTTGTTGTAAATAACCCTAAAAAAATCCCCACATAAACTTTACTGAAATTCATAAAATATTATACAAGTTAATACAGTTTTTATTTATGAATCTTCCTGTATTTATGCATCAATGATAAAGTTATGCTGAAGATGACATGGGTCCTGGTTATAGACTTGCAGTACGGGAGAACTTTTTTGATAGTCGGGTTGTTCTAAAGCACACACACACACACACACACACACTGACTGTTGTACAATAAACATGGTGTCTTCATTACCATCTTGAGGACACATTCCTCCTGGGAGTAAAACAAACGCCAGCAGACAAGACAAAGAGAACTTCATAATCGTCAAGAGAGTGAAGTGCACTAGTGACAAATACTTCACCCAACTGAGTATATTTGGGGCTAGTGAAGGTGAAGTGTAGCAGGCGTCAACCACTCTAGGTGGGCTGAGCTCTAGAGTGCACGGTGCCTCATGGTGAAACACACACTAGACTCTAGAGTAATTTGCACCTAGACACCGGACGTGACGTGACTCAGACGTGAGTCAAGTGCAATATGGAAGCTTAATTCATACTTTCTGTATTTTCCTTTTCTAAGTAATCCTTCATAATGCCGCCAGTTTCAATATCCATTAAAATAATAAATCATCATTTTTTTCTCATTCACTAGCATTATGTACATTATACTTAAATAAAATTTTAATGCTCAGAAATGAGAATAATGAGTTCTGGATTTTTCATTACAGTTCATTTTACCGTCAGGTGAGATGCACTCTACTATGGTGAAAAACACTCTAGAGTGCATCTCACCTGGTGGTAAAAGGCACTCTCGAGGTGCAAATTACTCTAGTGTGTGTTTCACCATGAGCCACCGTGCACTCTAGAGCCCAGCCCACCTAGAGTGGCTGACGCCTGCTACACCGGCCTCCACTGAGACAACCCTCCTCACTCGCTAAGCTCTGTTCTCAAAGGTTTTACAAGGCGGAAAATTCCCACAGTCAGTCTGTGTCTCCCTCGAGAACAATGCTTTAGTTTCTCACCAACGTCATATGTATATTTTACACACGTATTTTGCATGGTGGTGGCTAAGATGTAGTCAACATGACACTCGAGGATATCTCTTATGTACTGTATGTGCACGGTCTTGTGTCGTGCTGGAGAACGTGTACCACCGGGAAGCTCAGCTGCCGCGGTAATGTGTGAACAAGCACATGGGCGGCGCCTCACTATGAGTGAGTGATGGTCTAGTGCAGGGTGGGCAACCCTTGGCACGTGTGCAAACATGGCACGCTAACGGCTTCTTTCCGGCACGCGAGACCCGGGCTCACCTCAATAAAAAAAAACCTTTATATGGCAACCGCATGCCGCCTTGGCGGCAGCGGGTGGAAGGATTGTTTCCCGTTCTGTTGTTAAATAATTAGCCATGCGGCCAGACGTGGTGTGACTCCTTTACCATCATTAATATTTTATATATTTTTTCGAGTTTTGCAGTTAAGCAAAGAATTTATCGGTTAGCAAAATCCAAGTTCAGCTATATGAATGTTTAAATTTAATTAAAAGAAAAACAAATATTACACCAAGATCTGTAATAATTATCTGGCTATCAGAGATTGCATTAAAAACATTATATCAAAAGTCAACCTCTTTTAGATCACTGGGTCATTATATGGCACATTAACTTAAAAGGTGTCTTAACTTTCATGGAAGGGAACATGGCTTTTTTGCTCAGTGTCCCATAAATGTCACATGCATATCCGTTCTCTCTAATCATTGTTCCTCTGGTGGTGAATGTGTGAAGTGTGAACCAGCAAAGTAAACATAGCAAGAGGGAGAATCGCTGACCACGTGCAAGTAAGTTATTATTTACTGTCCAAATTATCAGCTGTCATAGTGTTTGTCATGCTTACCCATAAATTTATCGATGTTCCTAAGACACTGCTGAATCTGTATACTCCTGTGCACAAGGAAAATTTGGCGCAACTTACCTTAGCAAGGCGATTTAAATTTTGCCCCTAAAATGTGACCTTTTTTAAGCTGAATAATGGATCTCACCCCGCTTAAGTGAGTAAAGCAAACCTTTGCTGAAAATTTTATGAACTTGTTGGTAGTGAGTATATTTATGGAGCGTGACATATCTGGCACACTGGTCAGAAGGTCCAAAAGAGGTTAATGAAGCCTGTTCTTCAGCATACTGTATGTGCCATAAACATAAGTTATTATTAAAGCTAAGGGAAATGTATTATTAATATTCAGGATTATGAAGTGTTATCTGCACGTGATCAGATAGCATGCATGCCTTTCTCGTTGATTTGCATTGTGTAGGCATGCCTATAATTGTACCAATTTATTTTATTTTTTATTTTTTTTATTATCCACCAACTGATTTTCATAAACCTTGGTATATGTATGCAGAGAGTGATTGTGAAGAGAATGTCTGAGTCCACAAGTCTCTGTCCACATTTTTACACCCCATGAACCGGTTTTGGTTATATTTACTTTTAACACCAACAGCTATTTAATGTTTTTCGTGTGGTTATATAGTAGAATACATGAATACAAGACTATTTTCTTTTGTAACACTTTTGGCCAAAATGTATAATAACCGAGATATTATTTTTTTTATAATAATGCTTCATAAAATAATAACTCAGGTATTGTGCATTTTGGCCAAAGGTGTTATAGAAGAAAATAATCTTGTATTAAGCATTCTACTATAATACTATGTGAATACAGAATATATATATACAGATTTATTTCTTTATTTATATTTTTTAATAATTTATAAATTAATGTCTCGGTTATTATGCATTTCTACCAAAAGTGTTACAAAAGAAAATAGTTTTGTATTAACGCATTCTACTATATAACCACACAAAAATCATGAAATAGCTGTTGGTGTTAAAAGTAAGTATAACTTAAAGTTGGAAAGTGTGCAAAGAGAGCAATTATTTTTTTACACATCATATGATTGCTTTCTACCCCTTATTTACAGATTGTACAGAATGTCACGACCACCAGCCAAGAAACGATGTCATACAAATGAAGAGGATATTAGAGAATTTAAAGAATACTGGACTGAAAAATTTGGCATGATTAAGAAAGATAATAAAGCATTATGCATTTTATGTTCTGAATCAGTTGTTTGTAGGACTTCTTCTGTGAAGAGACATTTTGAAACTGTTCATAAAAACTTAAGTAATGTAACTGAGCAAGAACGAAGAGAATTAATTTCTCGTTGCTGCTGGTTTTGAGGTTTCAAAAGTTATTGCCCAACATGGAAAGCCACTCAGTGATGGGGAGTATATTAAAGAAGCATGGCTAGAATGTGCTCCTTTCCTTTTTGATAACCTTTCAGAAAAGGACAAGATTATTCAGCGCATTAAAGATTTGTCTGTGAGTAGAAAAACAGTTTAGGATAGGATACTTAAGATGGAAATGAATACAACTGACCAATTAACAAAGGATTTAGCTTCATGTAAGTTCTTTTCTATTTGTGTTGATGAAAGCACAGATATTACATCATCAGCTAGGCTAGCAATTTTTTCTCGATTTTGTAGGGATGATGAGGTATGCGAAGAGATGATTAACCCTGTAACACTACCTGAGCGTACCACTGGGGCTGACATATGTAAAGCAGTTGTGAACGAATTATCTATTCGACAAATTGACATTTCAAAAGTAGTATCCGTCACAACAGATGGTGCACCCAGTATGATTGGTAAGGAAGCAGGATTTGTAAATCTGTTTGCAAAACATGTTGGTCATCCGCTGATAGGTTTTCATTGCATCATACATGAGGAGGCTTTATGTGCTAAAGCTGGTCTAAGGGAACTTCAAGAAGTGATGCAAACAGTCACCAAGGTTGTTAATTACATTTCTGCACGTGCCTTAAATAAAAGACAATTTCGGAATTTATTGAATGAGGTGGATTCGGTGTACAAAGGACTAACAATGTACAACAATGTTCGTTGGCTTAGTCGAGGATTTGTTTTGAAACGATTTGTTGAATGCATGGATGAGATAAATATCTTTCTGATTAACCAACAAATGTCTTATAAAGAAATGTCTGACATCGTGTGGGTTTGTAAACTAATGTTTTTTGCAGATTTATGTGAACATTTAAATGACTTAAATGTTAAATTACAAGGCTCTGGTAAGACACTTGATGTTATGTTTGATTACATAAAGGCATTTGAAATGAAACTAGGAGTTTTTAAGAGGGATGTAGATAGTGAAAGATTTAGATACTTTCCAAACCTAAAGAAATACATCAATGATCTCACAAAGGATGACAAAACAGACTGCCAGTGTCTTCAGAAGCTATTTGTAAACATCATTGAGTCAACTGTTGAGCAGTTCTCAACAAGATTTGCTAGGTTCAGAGAATTAGAAGAGACTGCAAAATTCATTAAGTTTCCAGACAGTATAAAACTGGATGAACTAAACTTGCAGAAGTTTTCATGGATAGATATGGATGATTTTGAAATGCAATTGATTGAATTTCAAACTAGCTCAATTTGGAGGCAGAAATTTGTTGAGCTTAGAGCTGACTTGGAAAGTATTGAAAAGGATCGATTAGAGAAGGGAGTAAGAGAGAGAAATGCCGAAAACGAGGTACTGAGGACTTGGAATACTATTCCAGAAACTTTTGTCTGTTTAAAAAAACTTGCAACAACATTACTATCCATTTTTTCATCTACATATTCTTGTGAATCATTGTTCTCAGTGATGAACTCTGTTAAGTCTCATAATAGAAGTAGCCTTACTGATGAAACTAGTAGCGCATGTATATCTCTCAAGGTTACAAAATATAAACCGGATATAAATTATCTATCATCAGGGATGCAGCAGCAGAAGTCTCATTGATTCTAAATAAAGAAAAGGTTCACAATTATTCGTTCTCTAATTTTCATTTGATGTATTCTGTTAAAAATATTAAGGATTCGCTTTTGTTTAATATAATACAGTGTGTATTTTTGTAGGTAAAATAACTTTTATATTTTCTCTGTGGTTTTTATGCATCATTCATAAAGGATTAAGAATCAATAAAAGAATATCTTTAGTTTTATATCCTTTTATTGTGTTTTAGTCGAGTAAATCGATATTGAGCTTGGTATTGTAATGTACTGAAAAAAGTTTACAAAAACTAATGGCTGAATGATCTGATAAACAAATAAAAAATATTGTTTACTCTTTTGCTGATGCTAAAAATAACGTCTTTAAATTGTGTGGATGTATATGACAACTAGATTTACACTGAAATGCTAATATAAAACATCCACGCTAACAACAGGGAAGAACAACCACTAAGTAAAAATTCTGTCACTAATTTTTACATTCATTCAATATCCCATGATTTATAAAATCACTCTTACAAAACTCTCTGATTTTACCACTCCGGTGTGATTTCTGATTATTTGAAAAGGTTCTCCCATTACGTAAAAGATACCAAATAATAT